TCATCTCGTCATTGTGAAATGAAGGAAACAGCCCGAACCGGACCGAACTTCAGTCAAACAAGACCYAACACTTTTATTCCTGATTTAAACTAGCRATCTTGTGAGCAGCTGCAGCTGTATGCTTTTATTTTTTCTGTCAGGCTTTCGGAGCGCTCCACCTCCTCTGTCCGGGGCTGGTGTGGTGTGAGGCGGACAGAGCTCTGCCAAGTCTGCGGTAAATTTGTGTCCTGATCCAGAGAGACAACACGAGTCAGTCCCAGACTGAGCTGACTTGATCAAGTCTCTCTTTGCCTCTGGTGAGGAGGGGGGTGAAAAATCCTCCACCTCAGACCGTTCAGAGATGTAACTATCTGCGATACTGTGGTCACTCTCCATGTAGCATCAATTATGCTAATGCTAGCTGTCACATTCTCTCGTCCTGGCCACACCTCCGCTCTCTAACCCCCCCTTCCCCACCCACACACTTTGATGCATTTTTCAAATTTCGCCTTGGGGTGAAGTTATCTTTTCACAGCGGGGTAAGATGCACTTTAAGGAAATCAGTGCCAATAAATTGGCTCTCAAGCTAATTTGTTTGAGAGAAATGAAGCAAAATAGAAGGGGTTTGTTTTAGAGGGGTAAAAATGTTTATGGGGACAGTTAGGAAGCTGCATAGCCATCATGCTGAATAGCAAACTGTAACATTAATGGCATGCTCAWATGCAGTCTGTAAAGAATGGTTATCCCACCACCGCTGCAGCTTGATTAATAATCCTTATACTGTACCTTCTCTGGTAAACTGAAGGGTTAAGCCAAAAGCCTCCAAGCAGAGTAATGGAGGACAAGAAGATGAATAGGTGAAAGGGGAGCTGACCGTGAGAGAAACKGCCAGAGGCTGAGTTGTGAAGCTGTTTTCCAATTCTAGATGAATGAAGATAGCCCAGAAAGATTAGGTTGTTAGGGAGGAGGAAGGTTTCCTAACRCAACACGAGTGGCGTAACAGCGGTCCTATTTGTCGTGTCGTGCTTTTCATTAATGGCACAAATTGATTCCATCAGTGCAGAGATAAAAGACAGAATAACCAGGAGCTTTTATGTCAATAGAGGATTACTTCCAGTCCGGAATGAGACATCTTTCAGGTGGAAATAAGAAGAGACAAGTGCCCTGACAGAGTGATTGATGGCACAAACTGCTGTTTTAGCCTGCTTGCTTAGATCTTGGCTAAGTGTTTGAGGAAGCTGGTGATGGGAGCTGCTGGGTTCTCAGTGGGTCAGAGAACGTTTGTAGCTGACAGCTGATGAATCGCCGCAAGTGCACACCAAAAAAAAAGGTTAATTAAACCAAGTCCCCCAAAACACCTGGCGCATAAAGAAACAATTTTTTATAGAGTTGTACCTTATTTTCAAAATGTGGAAAAGCTGTGTCTTAAAGTTTTCTRTTGTTTGTTGCACCTCCCTTAGAGTCATCAAATGCATCTTTACTGACAAATGCAGAGAAGATCGCAACTATCACCACTACTCACACAGCTCAGCAACAGGCTGCACCTGAGGCCAGGTGAGCAAGAAACATTACTTTAAAGTGCCTGTGACATCAACTTTTTTTTATCAAAACTATGAATATATGTTTGGAAGGATAACATTAATAGCATATTGCAAAAAAAGGCATTCAGGCTGTTGATCAGTGGAGATATTCACATGTGAAGTAACAGGAAGTGATGACAAAAGGGAATGTCTGCACATAAACAGAGCAACAACACAGACTGCAGAGAAGGTTTTTAGATTTTTTTTTGTCAATACCAGAGAGATGAAGAAGAATCAAAATTCAAATAATAGTATTTTAATAATCAAAAACAAAGTTTTCTTTCTGAAAGAGTTCCCCTTTGATGTCACTTCCTGTTTCACTTTGGCTGAGCCAAGATCAAAGGAAAATATGCCAGTTATGTGAAAAAATGTGTAAAATCATGTGTATTATGTCAAGTTTATTAAATATAAAAATGTTTTTAATTTACTTTTTATATTTGAAGTGTAAGCATGTCACAGGCACTTTAAGCATATTCTGTAAGAAAACAGAATAGTTCCTAAAATCAGGTTTTAAGTGGTGAAAATCCTCTGGTAAAGGCCTGTTTTTATTCTGTTTCAGGACCAACACCAAACCAAAACAGGAATCTTATGAGTTCAAAGCACCCCCAGCTCCCCCTGCCCAACCCTCCACCCAGACAGACTCAGCTCAGGTAAGAACACTCCAGTCACTCACCTGCCCATCCGTCCGTTTCATGTCTCCCATCAGGCAGCGCAGCACTCCCTGCTCCTCCTAACTGCATCCCCCTCRTCTCTTCAAACATCCATTCATACTGTTAGAGCATCCAAACACTCATTCATCCTCTGTCCCCTCCAACTTAATAGACCCACCCACCTGACCAAGGACAAATGTGCTTTTTTGATGTATTTATCTTTTTTTTGTACAACCTCCTGCTGGTGCTAGATGAGTCTGTGAATTAAGGGAAGCCTGTTTACTTTCAAAGTAGCTCCTCAGTCCATTGTGTTCAGCGCTGAATTAATCTGGTGTTGTGAAGATGGCTCTCCCAGATAACATTGATCCCACCGCAGAGGAGATTAGAAGGACACGGAGACAAAGCTGCAGAGACTGTCTGCCTGTCCTTGTGATGCCCAGTCTGTCTCTCGCTTTCTATTGCCTAGAGCCCAGGGCATCAATAATTCAGCACCCCTRCACCTGAGCATATGCAGACACACACACAGARAGAAAGAGGGAGTCGGGCACTATGATTAAATATGTGTGACTTTCCTGGAGGTGGCATTTGTCCTCCTGCTCCTGAAACCGGAGAGCGCTTCAAAAAAAAGACACACATTTACAAACCAAACCACAAAAAGTGACCTTGATGCTAACGTGTCTCCGTCCCTCTCCCTGCACATGCGGCCCACCTCCGCCAGGATTCTGAGTTCTACTCGGTGGACCTGGAGCGGGACAACAAAGGTTTTGGCTTCAGCCTGCGGGGAGGCAGAGAGTACAACATGGACCTGTACGTGCTACGGCTGGCCGAGGAGGGAGCAGCTGTGCGCAACGGAAACATGAGGGTACGGACACGAGATGACAAAAACGCACCTACACCCAAACCCACAAATTGGTGTTTATTTGGACTCGCTGAAACTGTCACTCATGTTTGTCTTGAAAGCTTTTAGGAATGTGGCGTTGTGGAGTTGTTTTTGGAAATGTGAATATCACCTTTCTTGTAGAGCATGACCCCCCACTATTTAAAAGTAACAAAAATTAAAAAGAGAGAGTATTCAGCTGCACAGACTCTAATGAAAGTCTCTTCAAATATAGAAGAATATTTAAAAAAATCTTATGGCATTCTCTACCATTGTACTGAATTATAAGTAATATATATATATATATTTATATTTATGTCCTCTTGTGTATATTAGATCTTTAGAATTTTAATTATAATCAGCTGCACAGACTCTAATGAAAGTCTCTTCAA